GAGGAGGATGAGGAGGAGGATGAGGAGGATGAGGAGGAGGATGAGGAGGATGAGGAGGAGGATGAGGAGGAGGAGGATGAGGAGGAGGATGAGGAGGAGAAGCAGGAGGAGGAGGAGGATGAGGAGGAGGATGAGGAGGAGGATGAGGAGGATGAGGAGGAGGAGGATGAGGAGGAGGAGGATGAGGAGGAGGAGGATGAGGAGGAGGAGGATGAGGAGGAGGAGGATGAGGAGGAGGAGGATGAGGAGGAGGATGAGGAGGAGAAGCAGGAGGAGGAGGATGGGGAGGAGGAGGAGGAGGCGGAGGAGGCGGCGGCGGCGGCGAGAGATTCTCCCACCCCCACCCACCGAGCTGAGGTGAGGCCGGGGCAGAGCATCCTCCTTTCTTCCCCTCATCCCTTCCTCCCTTTCATCACCCCCCTCCCCCCCTTCCCGAGCTCCTTCCTTTCATCCTTCTTTCCTTATCCTCCTTCCCCTTTATCTCGCCTTCCCCTCATCCTTCCCTGCGCTTCCTGGTCCTCCTTTCCTTTCTTCTCTCCTTAGCCACCTTTCTCCACTCCTCCCCATCCCCCAGACTCCTTCTCCCCGTGCCCACATTTCGCACCCACCAGAAATAATAAATATGCCCCCTTTCCCCCCCTTTTTCCTTTTTTAAATGCAATTAATTCTCGCCCAGTGGAAGCGGGAGAAAGAGACAGAGTCTGTCACAGACAGAGATAATCCTCGCTCCTTTAAAAAGAATGGATTTGAATTAATGGTCATTTTGTGGTGTGTCTATGATGGAAAGAGGGGGATTATATTTAGGGAAGAAAAGAAAGGGTCAGAGGTGTGTTGTTTCACTTATTCATCTATTTACCCAGCATCGCTTCGAGGTGAAACGGAGCTCCGTGTTATTTTAAGTCATTTTAAAAAAGAATAATTATGATAAAAAATTGTTCTCCTTTCTTCAGGCAGCAGAGGTTTCTGCCTCCCTTTTATCCATCCACTCTGCGTCTCTGTGATTTACAGGCGCTGCTGCTGCTGCTCTGATTGTCTGAGGCGGCGGGGAAGGGGCGCGGGGAGCGGTGCCGTGCGGTGGGGAGGGGGCGAGGGCAGAGAAGCAGCTTCCTCCAGCCCTTCCCTCTAGGCCTCTTCCAAGGTCTGAGCCCTTTCAACCCACCCGCTTCATCTGTCATCCGGAATCCGGCCCCAAAGAAGGTATCGGCTCCCACCAAAGCGTTTGCTCCGATTGGCAAAGAGTGAAAGTTTAAAACGTGGCTTTTGTCTTCTCGTGGAGCGCGGTGGGGATGGAGAAGAGCTCTGTTGGTGTTGGCTGGAAGGCGACGGCCGAAAGCGTCTCGTTGCTTGGATTCTGGAGTGGCAGAAGTTTTGCTTTGTGGTGGTGGTTGTTGGTGGGGAGCGGCGTGGTTGCTGCCAGACTTCCCGGGCTGCCTCTCCCATTTGGGAGTTGGCGTCAGGGATGCGTGAGCTTGTCCATGCGCCAAGGGCTCGGGAAAGTAACTTCTGCATGTTGACGGTGGGGTGTAGCGTGAGGAGTCGGTAGCACGCACCTGCCTCTCCCTGGGTTGGAGGGTGGATGTGCTCCCTCGTGTCTCGCCATTTCTGTGCGAGGATGTTTTCTTCTTAAGGTGACGCTCCCTCAGTTGAAACGATCGCTCGGTGGTTGTGTTTCTCTCTCCATCAGCTGTGTGGTGGCAGAGCATTTATTTGGGTGTTAGCGTGCTTCAGACAATTTCAGCCTTTTTAAGCTTCCATTTGCTGAGTCGGAAGTTGATACTTCATTCAGGATAGATATGTTTCAAAACCCCTGTGATTTTAGGAATCAATGGATACCACAGCTGCTGATACTATAGCAGAAGTCTGTCAGCCTGAATAATGTAAACACATACATAACGTGATACACTATCTTGGCATGTATTCCCTAAAAAATGTTGATTCTGTTCACTTGTCAAGATTACAGTGAATGCCGTGTGGAGCACAAGGGAGATAAGTAGCATAAATAGGGGTGGTCTTAAATGATGTTGCTGATGCGAGCAGCAGATCTTGCTGGCTTTGTGGCTGTTACAATGCTGCTGGTTTTTCTTTTTACCTGTAGTGTCTGTGATTGATATCATGTATTGTATCAGACTTTTTGCACCCCAGATCAAGCAGAATCCTTTCTAGAGGAGAAAAAGTGTTGACTTGAAGGATGAACTTTTGCACTCAATTGAGTAAATAATTGTTTACAGAAATACCACCTCAGCTGTGTCCAGTAAGATAGCTGTAATTCCAGTAACGGACTCTGTTGGTGACAAAAGACTCTAGAAGAAGGCTCCAGTGTCACTGGAGCCCTTACATGGAAATGTGACTGTAATTTATGCAGATTTGTTAAAGCTGGTTTTTTAATATTAATGTTGAGCGTGTGTGGCACTAGTGAAATGCCTTGGAGTGACTGAAAATGAAGGGCATTCATAGACTGAGACTTAAAAAGTCAAAGGAAGCAATTAGATCTGCTCTGACCTGGTGTCTATTATAATCAGTTGGATTTTATCCAGTTACTTTGGAGTGCAATAACTTGTATTTGGCTGAAACATATTTTCCAGAAAGATGGGAATTTTGATCGGTTTTTTCAGTAAGATGTGGCAAAGCTGCTGTTTATTAAGTTATTTGGCTTCAGTTTCCAGTCACTGATTACTGATGTGCCTTTCTCCACTATGCTAAAGAACTCAAAGTATTTTCTTATGTTGGAGGTACTTAGCAGCTGTAAACTAGTCATCCCTCTCCCCTCTGTTTGAAAAAACAAGTGGACTGAAACACTTTACATTTGTCCCTGCACACATCTTCCTCACAACTCAGTTTCTGTGGCTTTTTTTTTTTTTTTCCCAAGTCCACTTTTTCAGCATTTTTGTGAAAGTGGGAGCTGGATGCAGCATGCCAGTGTCTTGGGAGTGTTTCATGAGTTTCAGTATTACCTCTCTAGTGTTCCTTTTCTCACCATGTTTACATATTAACCCTTCATCTGCAGCACTGCAGTTTGATCTCTGTTTGGCTGGGTACACTCACTGTGACAAACCCTTTGCAGGACTGTTTCTTTCCACAAGAGTTCATAGTTCTGTAGACTAGCACGTGTTTCTTGAATTGTAGCTTCATAGCTTTGTACATGGCTGTTTTAAACAATGTTTTATTTCTATCATAGGTTGACTATTTCAAACCCTCCTGATTGCTTTTTTACCTGATTTATCTCAAGTTATGTGACGTTCTATCTGTTTACAACTTCTGTAAATTTTGTCATGATTGATGGTGTAGACTTGTAAACAATTGAACAAAGTGTTTCATGATAGTGACTTTGCCTTTGGGGAACTCCATGCTAATTTGCATTATGTAGTGGTTTGTTCCATTGTTTTTGGGATGTCATTTAACCAGTTCTTGACCTGTTTAATGGGTGCTATTTTGTTGTCAGGCTGTCATAGAATACTACACCAAATGCCACAGAAGTTTAGATGTGTACAGATACTTTTACCAGTTGGAAGTGTCAATTGTATCAGATAATAAAACAAGAGTCGTTTAAGAAGACCTATTTTCATTAACTTCTGATTATTGGTTATGTAGCTCTGATACATCTGAATTATTTTTTTTCTCAGACAGCCATTGTTCTAACCTCCTATAGCTGTAAACACTGTCTCACTGGCTCTCTTAAAGTATGGTTCATTCAGACTTCTGAAATTTTCCTGGTGTCTTCACAATTGCTTAAAATTCAGATTGATGGCATAGAAATCTCCTTGGATACTTCTGAGAGAGCCCTCTTCCATGGTGATCTCTGTTCCTGCTAACCAAAAATGTTTATTCCAAAGTAATATTTTTTCAGCTTTGCACTTGTAATGGACTGAAGAAATAATGCATCATTATTACAAGGTACCAGCAAATCATCTTACTTTGCAAATGCTGGATGACATGCTGAACGTGTCTGCCCTTTTACACTACTAGTGTAGATCAGAGTCCCTCTTTAGTAGCACATCTGTGTGAGGGCTAAGATTTCTTTTGTTCTTACAAATTCCAATCCCCCCAGTGTTTTTTTCTTGTTGCCAGGATATGTCTTCATCTTCTCCTCTCATTTTTTTACACTTACTGATTCAAAACCTGTGTAATTTGTTATCTCTTAGTACTTTTTTCCCCCTCTCGTTATGTATGGCTTCGTACTCCTAATAGCAGTATTTACTGAAAGCTGTTTTCTTGCCAAATTGTGGTAGTTATGACAATGCCTTCTAGATATTACATGCTGTCTGAACATGAGAGTATGAGATTTATGATTTTTTTTTTCTGTGTACAGTGACAGAACCATACACTTATGCTTTGGAACAGAGTAGGCTTTTGCTTTTAATACAGGATCTTTCAAAGCTTGGCTAAAGACAACTAAGTTCTTTACTTATATTCTCCATACTTTATTCAAAGGCAGTGCAAAGCATAGGACATACTTTACTTTTACATATAATACCAAATGGTAGTGGAAATATGAGGGGCAAGTATTCAGGAATAAATATTTCCAACAAATAGGAAATAGGAAGGACATACAAGTTTAACCTCATAGTAATTACAGTAGTGTATTTAGGTCATAACTCGATTGGAGTTTTTGTGGCTCAGGTCTGTAGAAATTGTTCCCCTAAAGCTACTAAGAGGTCAGATTCAAGAAGATAGAAAAGGAACACAATTGGAGAGGAAGATGAAAGTGACAAAAAGAAGCTTGTATTTTAGAGGTTAGCTAAGAGCTGCTTCCTGACTAAAATAAACTTGTTTATTTCATATAAACATGACATTTGTTAAGATAAACTTTCTGGAGGAATTAGATAAACAATGAAGTGTGTGGGTTGACTAGGGAGAACTTTCCCAAGGCACAGCTTCCAACACAGCAGGTGTCTGCAGGAAGCCCAAGTGGCTGAGGCTCTGGTTCCTCTGTGGAGCTCCATTAGTGGTAGGTGAAGTCCTCCAGCTGTATCAACAACACCATGAACCTGGTGGGGACCAAACTGCTTCCAAGCCTAGCATGCCTTGAGCATTATTGGAAACTTAAGAGACGAAACTGTTTAAGACTGCTGTGACAAAGAAGTGGAAGAGATGACAACAAAGAACAAAAACCAGGTTTTGGCCTGTTAAAAAGAAGTGGTTAATAAGCTTCTTAATGTCTTATGGGAATTCATAATACACCTAAATATATCTCCAAGCGTGATAACTGAAGGCATTGAGCCTTCAGTTGAGCAGCCTCAGCCCTCTACAGATGTAAATGAATTTTGTCTTGGGTTTCTGGATAAAAGTTCTACAGTTTTCTAAATTATTTTCTCAACATCCTCTGTGAGCTACTGAGAGAGCCCTGAGATGCTCAGTTC